TCGCGATCGGCATCGGAATTCATTGGCACCATTAAAGTTTCAGCTGCTGAGGTAATCTGCACTTCGCTTACTTTTGGAAAATTAGTGATTTATTCTACGTGGCAGGCACAGTTCACAACTGCTGCACAAACGAAGCATTAGTTTTCAGCTTTTGTACTGATCAGAATTCATATGCTGTCATGAAACTGATCAGTTTTGAGTTATCCTGTTCAAATGAAATTCCTTTCTCATCTGTGCTTTACGAGATTTGGGAAATTCAGGAGCCGACGAAGTCTCTAAGCTTGGATCATTTGGGTACAGTGCTGGCAACCCGTCACGAGCGCTTCCGAAAGCACCTGCAAAGTATGGTTGACAGCCCACTGTACGAAACCCTGATACAGTGCTTGCTGGCCAACAGATACCATTTGCGCACCCAGGCCGGCAGTATTCGCTTGTCACAACTCACTGTAAAATTTACGCTTTTCTCTCAGTTTTCACTTTTGAGAGGTCTTCTCGCAGATGCCCAGTGGTGTGGTCGTTCACAACCAAACTGCCTGGCCTGGTCACACTAGAGCAGCATCACTTTAGCTGAAGCAGTCACGACATTTTACGTACGCAAAACTGGCCTTTGTTGCTTTTCACTCCTCTTGCGCCACCTTATGCAGTTATTGTTGTCTAAGCAGTTCTTGCCGGGAAATATTTCTTTTGTTATGTTTTCCAGGTACCTTATGAATCGTGGCAATTGACATAATAACGCTGTAGTCCGTCTGCGCATCTTCCACTAATATCAATGCGAATTATACAGAAAGAAGCCGGGAATGATGACAAAAATCGCATTGATATTGCTAACTGTATTTGATTGATAAGCATTCGATGCGCTGAGCTGATCGCCACTGACTCATAAAACTGACCAGCCCGTGTGGTGTAAAACAATCCTCAAGCGGCCGCATTTGAAATCAAACACGCTCTCCTTTCTTGGAGGAACAACTGTCCATCGTCCAGCACGTAAGAAACTGGATAAACATAAATACAGTAACACATTCACTTAATCGGCACGCACACAAACACACAGACACACACCACAAGCATGACCGTACCCACGTGTACACGCAAAACACACCAGTAATATGCGTTTTGCACCGCTCCTGAAGCGTACAGAGCTTTAAAAAAAGTTGGTACTTCTTTGCTAGCACAGATAAGCTGCACAGCAAGCCCTTTGAAATACAGTACGATTCTTAATTTTCCGTTATTTTGCTTGACTTTTTAAATAACTGCAGACAGTTTTTGCGGTGACAGTCCTTCGAAACAGTGATAGAAGGTTACTTTACTTACTATGTGGGTGAGTGATACTTTCAATTATTGGATGAACAGTGGGGAAGTACCTTTTTTGTGAATATGTAGGTGGCTTGAAGGTGACCTGTAGGGTCTAGAAATTAAGTCAACACTAGAAATGTCAGTAAATTTCAGGGATTAATTTTCCTGACTTGTGAATACTGAGGGTCTCGCTGTTGGCACCGTTGTAAAAGGTTACTACAGCTAAGACCAAAAATGAAAGAGGCATGGAACTGACATTCTGTGGATGCATTTTTTTATTCAGCGAATACGATCGTAAAAAAAAAAAAACAGCAAGCTGTAAAAGCAGAATAGTTGCAGTGCAAGTCGTCGAATCAGCCAAAAATCGTGAAAAAATGCATTTTCATTTCTTCCAGTCAACAATCGATTCTTTCTTTTCCTGCAAAATATACATTTACTTCATTATAAATGTGCCTGTTAAAGTCGCGGTGTGGAGCACTGAATGTCATTGAGGTTTAAGTACACTTAGACCACAACCCTTCCATGTTTTACCTTCCCCCATCGGGTAATGGCTAAATCGCATTCTCTCAACAGCATCTGCTGGTCACTAACAAACAGTCTTTGATACTGTTCAAAGCCGATCAGGTAAACTGAACTGGTGAAATTTTAGGATGATGCTCTCTGCCCATGCATAACCCAAAGAATTTGAATTCAGGCTTTCAAGCCCGCCTAGGTCTCGCGTACGGACATGTCAAAGTTTAGACTGTGAACAAAAGCGCTGCTGGTGTTATGCCAGCTTGGGGGCCAGACTGGACTTATGAGAGTGTTTTTTGCTGCCCAAAATGGGCCAGTAACCATGAAGTGTCCCCCTAGATCTTACTCACTGATACGGAGAATTTGATGCTAGCAATTTCGTAATTCTGCAACCAAAGCAGCTAGAGTGCTGAAATCTTCTATGGTCGAACTTAAGCAAGTGTACGGGGAGACAATCAAGTCTCATGAAAGGACGTTTGCAATTTAAAGCTGAAACTCTGTATTTTCATAACCAAAAAAAAAGTTGTAAGTTTGAAACTTTTTTTTGAGCTTGTTCCACGATAATGTGCGGGTAAGTGCGAAAGGTAATCAACCTTT